AGGATGGAAAACAGCTGCTGTGAGGCGTTTTCCCCTCATTTTCAGACGGCATCTTCTGCAGTTTAAATATGTCCTTGTCATCGCTAAAGCCAACATTTTCTCTTTATTTCAAATATATAACCAGCCCAAACAAATGTAATTCAGCAAAATGTTTGACACACACACGTAGCCTGTACTGTGCCACTGACACACTGATTTAATAACTGTGACAAAGTGAAAATATAGGCTAGTGTCATTTCGAAATGACAGAAAAACACAAACCGTGGTGAAAACAACACACAAAATAAAACACAAACGGCTCGCGATTAGAATGAACAGCAAATCAGCCAGCAGAGGATCAATAACAGACTTTTATTGGTCATTTTTGTAAATTGCACGACTTTCATACCTGTTAAGTTTCATGCCAGTACTCTGGTTTGCTCTCTCTCTCTGTGTGTGTGTGTGTGTGTGTGTGTGTTAAAGAGCCGCTGAGCTAACAGCTGACAGGCCGGGAACGCACACACACACTGTACTTCTGACGGCAGACACGTGAACTAGGAGAACGTTTTTCTCGTATTTCTGACACGCTTGAACCACACGTGACAGATTATAACGGCTTTAACAGACACATTTCTAAGTTGTGTGTCACAAAAACACTCTGTTATCCATTAAACGTCATTGAAACCCATTATTGGAGCGCAAATTACCAGTTGTACACGCTGTAAACGGAAGTTTTTAGCATTCTACCGGAAGACGCTGATCGCTATGGTGCCCTCCATGCAGCAGCCATGAAAAAGGTCTATAAAAACGCAACTTTTAATTAGTAATGCACATTGGTAAGAATTTTGTTTCGACAATTTTAAAGGGAATTTTCTAAATACTTTTTTACTTTTAGATTTTTTTTTTTTTGGAAAGCTCAGATTCAAGATTTTCTAATAGTTGTATCTCCATCAAACATTGGCCTATCCTAACAAACTACATTTCATGTGATGCATAATTTTCCATGATTGTTCATGTTAACTGCTACAGCAATTAATGAGCTTGCTTTATGACTGATCTTGTTGCAGATTAATTAATTGCTGTTGCTCCTTAATATCTAGCAAAATCAGCCCAGAAATATAAAAATTAGCTTTGTAATGATATAGAGTTTGTCATGTTTAAACACTTATAATGATTATAGTTGTTTTTATGTCTTTCATGGAAGAACCAGACCCACTCGTCACACTTGTTAATATGTCTTATCTTGAGGTCAGAATCTCCATCTTCTACACTGTGGCTGTGTGTGTGGGGCTGCCGTGTCTGATTTGAGCTTTTTATTCTGTGCATCGTCAGAGAAAAGCAAGTGGTCGAATCTCAGGCTTCATCATCCTCCTCCTCCTAAATGACCTGCTGCAACTGCTCCTCTATCCATGCCTAGTGTCATGTCTACTGTCTTTTGGTTTTTACCATATTGAATTCGAAACTATACAAGTTTTAGCTGTTTGTCCAAAGATCGTTGGCCTTCACTTGCAGCCGATTGTGGCTCTGGAGGCGGCTCTGTCTCTGAAATATCCAAGGATTTCTGCTCGTCTGTTCTCATACCCCTGTTACATCATGACCACCGTCATCATACTCCTTATTCCTGTAATGTGTGCATTAGGAGTAGTTTATATGTATTCATATGATCATTTTGTTTGTGTGTATGTCACTTTTGGCTCATTTCTGCTTCCTGCATGTTTATTGGTTGCCACAGGCATAATCATCTACAAAGACCTGCCCACTGCAGCTGGCACACCTGTCACTGACTAGAGACCAGGTGAAGTGGTGTTTACTGTATCTTTGGTTACATTACTTGTGCTCTATTTACCATGTGGGATGGCCATCGTTATGCAGATCGACATTCACAATGACATATCAGAGTCTTGGTTAATAATGACGTTCTGTTTGATGAATTTGACAGTGATTTCAGAGGCTCTGCTGTGTGTGCTGGTATGCAGACAGAATCTCAGTGCTCAAACAAAACAGACACGTACAGAGCTCAACTCAGAGCAGACATCATTCTGAACTCAACATCTGGCAGAATTAATTTAGAACTTTTATGAAAGAAAAAATATAACAAATAAGTGTTATTCTTTGCAGTCATTTTTGTTCCGCTGACGTTAGTAAAGCATTTAAAATGGATTGACAGCATGATTCTATTTATACTGTACACACTGTATTTTCTGTTGTTTTACACCTTATCCAATTCCTTGACCAAACCCTCGTTGAAAACTTTGAGTACAGTTGAAGTCAGAATTATTAGCCCCCTTGTATTATTAGCGCCCCTGTTTATTTTTTCCCCCAATTTCTGTTTAATGGAGGGAAGATTGTCTCAGAACATTTCTAAGCATAATAGTTTTAAAAATCTATTTCTAATAACTGATTTATTTTCTCTTTGTCATGATGACAGTAAATAATATTTTACTTGATATTTTTCAAGACACTTCTATACAGCTTAAAGTGACATTTAAAGGCTTAACTAGGTTAATTAGACAGGTTAGGGTAATTAGGCAAGTTATTGTATAACAATGGTTTGTTCTGTAGACTATCGAAAAAAAATTTGCTTAAAGGAGCTGATAATTTTGTCCCAAAAATGTCTTTAAAAAAATTTAAAACTGCTTTTATTCTTTGCCGAAAAAAAACAAATAAGACTTTCTCCAGAAGAAAAAAACATTATCAGACATACTGTGAAAATTTCCTTGCTCTGTTAAACATTTATTTGAAAAACATTTATTTAAACAAATATTTAAAAAAGGAAAAAAAAAATCAAAAGGGGGCTAATAATTCTGACTTCAACTGTATGTCTACTTTCTGAAAAAAAATAAATAAAAATAAATCAGGGATATGAACCTTGTCATCATAAGTCACTTTCCCTTACAAACACACATGGGTTTTCCATATTTTATGTTTAATTTCTAGGTTGATTTGATTTGATCTGACTTGTATCAAATTTTTAATGGAGTGTAAATATTTAATAAAAATGTCCAACAATCATGCCTAAAAATACTGTAAATTACATGTACAAAATCACTCAATGATTACCACATTGATGGATGTTTATTAAACAATATATGCTTTTTTTCTTGAATCCGTGTGTGATTTAGATTTGTTGATGTCATTAAAGTGTATCCAGAAAGTATTCACTGGACTTTATTCTATTTAATGAAAAGGGAAAGGAATGTGATGTGGCCATGTATGGTCACTCATACACTGAATTTCCACTGTAGCTACATTTAACCTATCCAAGTGCATGCACGCACAGCAGAATTAGTTCAAAGACATAAAATAAAATAATAAAATAAAATAGATTAAAACAATCATTTCAAAGCTGTCCAAATGTGACTGTTTATATGCATCAGCTGCTGACAGGAAGTTCTTAGCATCATCCTTGCACATAGACTCAAAGGCACATAGACAAATGTCACATTTGAATTGATTTTCAACCGACTCATGGTGAATCGTTGCATCCATAATAATAATAATAATACTAATAATAATAATAAATGTTAACAAAAAAGTGCACAGTTAAAAAGTATCAGAGGCTGCAATATCTCTTACCAGATTAATTTTCAGTGGTTAGACACCCACATGGAAATAGATAGTATTTTATAGTAAATACTATAGTGTTTTTTTTAATTCCACTGACACCTCCAATAGAGATCGGGATGTTGCACAATCAGCTAAAATGATGCTAGAATTGTTTTAATGTATGGGCAATATATATAATGCATCACCAAGAATGATTGAAGTAATGTCCATGTGTTGTGTGATAAGTCCATACATTGATTATTGTGACAGGCCTATTTTTAACTTTTCTGATAAAATCAGCTAATTTCTCAAAGTTGTGTCATCATCTCATATTGGACATCCTGAATCAATCCCACAATGGACTGTGATTGCGAGTGCGAAACCCATGTACACAGTTGTTGCTAGAAGGGATACATGTGAGGCAGGAAGTTAACAGGATTTATTTATATTATTTATTAAATTTCTGGTTAATTTTCTTTTATTATTCATGTCTACACCAAACTGTCATGTTCAAAAAGAAACCCAAATGCAGGAAAATAAAATCAATAAAGTTAAAAAAAATAGAAAAGCAGTCAGAAAGATCAGATCTATATATATATATATATATATATATATATATATATATATATATATATATATATATATATATATATATATATATATATATATATTTATTTATTTATTTTTTATTTTTTATTTTTTTTTACATTCTAAAAAGAGCTGAGCCCCCTAAAATGAAACTCCAAAAATATTGCCCCTGATTTCAAAGCTGTCCGAACATGATTCTTCATACACTCCAGCAGCCTACTGGACATTCTTAGAACTCTCCTCGCGCATACATGCGCTGCATTCTGGGTAATTTTGCGTTCTAAGAAAAAGGTCTATACAGTAAAGCGCCTCATCCTATGTGCCTTAAGCCTGATTTATACTTCTGCGTCAAACACCGGCGTATGCTACGGCGCTGACGCATAGCCCTTCGCCGTGGCCATCGCCGTCACTGACGTGCACCTCTCAAAAAATGTAACTACACGTCGCAACGACGCGTAGCATAAGCTCTGTGATTGGTCGGCTTGGTAGCGCTGACGAGTCTGGGCGGGACCGAGAGGCGCGCGAATGGCGCGACGCCGCGCGAGCGATTGTTTACAAGTGTGGAGTCCCGTGAAGGAGCTCCGGATGGAAAGTTTTGTTTTGTGTTTACCTCATAGTTAAAGTTGTTGCACGTCCGCCGGTTCCTGCCTCAAAATGAGCGAGTTTGAGCCACTTGTACATCCCGGAAGTGTTCAGGAAATGCAAAAAAGTAGCGAAGAAACTTGACACAGAGGAACATTTACGCCTCACTGCCAACTAGCGTTTCGGAAGTGTTAATGCAGACCGGCAGAGACAGCGCGCAGAAGTATAAATGCACAGCCACGCGCGTTGCCTGCGCCGTGGGTTACGCCGGTCACCTGACGCAGAAGTATAAATCAGGCTTAAAG